GATTATCATTTAGAATGAAACAAGTTTGCTGAGGTCAGCATATAATGCAGCTGAATACCTTTTGGCCTCATTTTTGCCATAAGAGATATATAGGTTGCATTTACCCACTTTGAAAACAGTTTTTGTTATTTCAATGTCTGTTTTGACCAACACTCTTGCAGTTGGACTTAGCTTGTGGTCAGTTCTTGTTCATGTGACGAAAATAGAAATGTGCTGTAAACTATCATGCTTTGTTGTGATATAGTGGGCTTTCACTGTTTTCCTACCAAGTTATTCCTTGGATTTCTGGAGTATTACTGCCAAAACAAGATAAGAATACAATATTAGAAAAAAATTTGAAAACAATGTCCATATGCAGTTCAAAAGAAGAATCTTTTTACTGTTCAGAAATTACACTTATTACTTATGTTGTTTATTTTTCAGGGTTTAATTTAGAATACAACTTATTGGGTACAGTTTGTAATATTAAACTTCTTGGCCATATTTAGTTAGTTTTAAATGGCTCTGACTTGTTTTATGGTCAGCTCACAAATGAATCATTTAAATAAATTTTCAAACACTACCTTTCAAAGAAAAGTGGGTGACAGTACTGCACTTTTAAATTGAAGCTACTTGTGATTAAGGAATGAATCTTGTCATACTTACATATCATTATTAAAAGGTGAGTTATGTACCACATTGGAGGTCATTGTCCAGGTTATTAAAACTGTTCAGCTGATAATCTCCAGAGTCACAGATGTCTTACAAGGTAGGCATATTATGTTCTGTTCACTATACCTGTGTTAAAATTTAAATTTAAAAACACAATAACTGGACTTGGGCAAAATTGTCACTTTACACAAATTTCCAAGCATTCGATTAGTTACCAGATCATAGTCAACATTTGTTTGAAAGAAAACATTGCATAAACATATTGATATTTGAGGAGAAAAAAAGTACTACACATTAAAATACATTTGAAATATCCATCAGTTAGTCATATGTTAGATGCATACATTATTTCAAATTGACAACCCAGGACTGGTATTATCAGTACCTTTGGCTATCTAAGAGACATAATTTTGAACATAGATAAAATGCAACTTTGATTTAAAGAATCACTGATGTGAAATTCTTCATTTAAAACATTTTGATTTGCAGATCTTACTGTTGATGTGCAGTTAATGACTATTGCTGTTGCTTTCATAAGTCATTGTTAATGTGTTCTGTTTTGAATGGAGGCATGGGGGCTAAGTGGTCAGGTTGCTGTACTTGTAAGGAAAAGAGTGCTGGTTGGAATCCTACAAAGGCTTGCATCACCAACTGATGTGTCATTGGGCAAGGCACTTTACTGTAAGGGTCTTAGTACTAAACAATATTTTTGTATTCCAGTGCCAACAAACTAGAGCCATTTACTGCATTTATTCACTGCAACAAACATATATTATGGCTATACTGTATGTTATGGTTTTGCTTATTCTGAAATACTGACCAGAAATCATTATTGTTTTCATTTTTTTTGCTTCTGTTCCATTTTTCTTAGCTGCAATATATATCAGCTTATATATTTAGTTTAGCTGCACATTGCATTAATTAATGGGGTTTGTATGACAGTAACATCATAGAAGTTTTGATAGTGGTGTGCTGCCCAATGATCTAAAGTGATATTAAAATCCAGTACCTATCCATCTACTTTTGCTGTATTACTTCCAGATAATAACATTAAGTAGATTCAAATTTAGCAGTGATAAACCCAAAACAATCAGTAAGACAATAAGTTATGGATTGTTATATCTACAATGAAATTATATTCTTAGAATTAATAAAAATTACACCTATTTGTTAGTATATTGCTAGGCATGAGAAATGCATATAAAAGTGTGGGATGTCTTTAAATGCCATCATATATGTAGTTTAGCCTCATGGTCTGTGGGTTCCTTTATTGTTTGCATACTTAACAGTAAGCTCAGACTCAGTCTTAATCTTTGAAAAAATAATATAGAAACAATTTGCCAGATTACATTAGTGATTATGTATAATTATGTATAAGAGAGAGAGATGGTATTTTATTTTCAGTTTTTGTTGTTAGTGTTAATCAATTTTAATCATTGCTGTTTGTGATCAAATGATCTCAAATACTGTGTAAAACTTTTCTTTGAAATGATATTAATGATTTACCCATATATATATATATATATATATATATATATATATATATATATATATATATATATATATATATATATATATTTGATGCTTTAAAGTTGGAATCTTCATGTTTTGATATTGATGTCAGCTGATTTATTTTTGTAAAATCAAGATTGATTTTTTGCATTAATACTGTGTTGGATATGTCGATTGTAATAAAGAACACTTGTGCAACCACTATCACAGAATATATTATATTTGATGAGAGTAAAGTTTAGATTTGATTAATGTTAATATGTGTACAACTTCATTTGGCCAGTTTCATGTCATCTTGCAATTTATTGCCAAGACCTGTTTTTCACATTCATTGTGATTGCTTTGTTACATAAATTAGTCATGGTCATATACTGTACATAGTGGGTTATTTTCACTGCATCAGCAATTTCACATTTCTGATCTTATGACATTGGTGTGGTACTAAAATGCATGACTTCAAGACAGTCTTTTTGTGTGGCTGGGAGAGATTTGAATTCTTTCTTGCCTGTGGCATTATTTTCATTTTCTTTTACCAAATATAGTTCATATTTCTAATAATAGTAACAAAATATCAATCCACTGACCTTTTAGGTCAGTTTTCTCTGTCAGTGAAGGAAGTTCTAATTTAAATAAATGAATAGCCCTCATAGTGTTAACTCTCAGGTATTGTTCCTCAGAAGTTAAAAAAAATTTTTTAAAAGGAAACCAAAACAATTTCCTGAGATTATGTTTGAATGTTAATATGAATTCTCTTGTGATTTCTAAAGAAAACAGTTTTTCTAATACTGTAAAGATTATGTGGAATTCTCAGTTTACAATAGCAAAATTGACCAGGAATATGAGTTTATCTGGAGTTGTGTACTTCCATCTGATCTCAGTTAAACCCTCCAAGCCATTTGTATTCCCAATATCTTGAATTTTTTTTTTTTTACAATTTAAAATTTTTTCTCCATTGTTTTATTATTGCTCAAGAGTACTTTATTGCAAGTACAAAGAAAAAAGTCCCATATATGTCCGTGTGAAATTTCTGAAATTGGCCATTTTGTTTTTCTTTACCAAAATTAGTAGTTGTGGAAAAGGTAGAAATAAAGATTAATTTGTCTCTCTCTTGTTTTTATTTCTTCCATTTATGTATGCTGTACAATGAGGTAGCATATTGCTATAGTATACACATCATGCAGGCTTTCATGAGACTATTTCAGTAATGGATGTTATAGTTTATAAGTTGACTGTACATACCTTTAAATGGCAATTTACTTTGTTTTATGCATCCATATTCCTTTGGAAGGTCATTATTTACATATCCTGGTAAGTACTATGGCACAATCAATGTAAAAGTACTGGACAGTTTTGGATGATGTCAACCTAAAGGTGTGATACAGTAGAAACTGGATTTAATATCAGGTACTGTAATGTCACAATTAAATTACCAGGATATAATAGACTTTGTTTAACTATATTAGTAATAAATTTTAGATCAACAATATTTAATTTGAGTAAATACTTCTACATGACCATACTGATATGTACTTTAACATGCTGCAAGTGGCATTTGTAGATTATATGGAATATACGTAAGAAACGTATTTATCATATATTTGTATCACTTTAACTGTTAAGCCATTAGTTTAAATATTAGTAATCAACTGAAATAATATTAGGCATTAGTTTTAAAAATGTTGGACAATTGCAAGTTAAAATGAAAGTATTTACCACAGATTTATGCCAGTTGAAAAAATGTTTGTCATTTGCAAGTTGAAATAATGTTAGCAATTAGCCAGCTAAAAATGAATAGTGGAGTGACATAGTTTATGTGTCATCTGCAGAAGAGGCACGTTGTTTCCTTGCCATATGTACGTCTGAATGTCCATGTAAGCTGATTCCATGTTAGCATGGTAGCACAAAACCTAGTTTTACTTAAAGCTTTGTACACACCATATTATATAATTAGGTGACACTCATTAGATTTTCAGCCACTACAGAAATGTTTCAGGTTGTAAATTAAAATCCATCTTTAAACGTTTGTGATTTATATCTTAACAAAAATCTTGTATGCATCAACTACTAGAAACCACTTGCGGTAGACGAGAAAATATGTAGGAAACTATATTGGTTTTTTGTGGGGTTTTTTTCCTTCAAACCATTAAATCATTTTTTCAATGTTTTACATATTTTTATCTTTTTTATATTTGGACTATTTTGGAGACAATCTTTGTTAGCATGATTACGCAGAAATCATTTGATGAATGATATTATGTAGGTTATTTTTATTAATATGTAGATATAAAGGATGCATTCTCAAGCGCTATGTCAGGTACCATGACGGATCCATGAGTTAAGGCACGTTTACTTTAGTTTTATAGGCACCAGATACGTGTATCACGTTACTGTAAAACATGAAACCAAACAATGCTTTGCAAGCAATTCAGATTTACAGATTACATTCATTGATTACAACGCGTCAGCAATTAAAGCAAGGAAATTAAAAGTTTTGTGGGTTAATAAAAAGTTTATACATGTATTTGGCAATATTTACAGTTCGTCTTGAAGATCATGTGAAGTTACCGTTGTAAGGTCAATTAACAAAGATTTGAAGAGGGGAAAAAAAATCCCCAGAATTTATACAGGATAAATTTTGATTTAAACCAACACAGGTTGATTCAGTATATGATGTATGTAACAGGATTGAAAACGATTGGATTTTGAATTAAGTGAAAACATCAAACACAATGTATGCGAATGAAAAAGTTTATGAAATTAAAATATAGACAACAAATAAAAATGTAGACCATAATAATGGTTAGTCTCGTACTTTGATAATTCAATAGACAAGGATCGATCCGGTGGCCTAGTGGTTAGAGCGCCCGCCTCGGATGCGGGAGGTCGTGGGTCCGATCCTCGGCCGAGTTATACCAAAGACTTTTTAAAATGGTACTAACAGCTGCCTCGCTTGGTGCTCAACATTAAGAGATTAGTGTTAGGACTGGTCGGCCCGGTGTCAGGACAATGTGACTGGGTGGGACATGATGCTACATGTCTGCGGCATGATGCCCCACTGCTATACATTACTATCCACTGACACACTGCAGACATCGTAGCGCTATGACTGAAAAATTGTCAAAGCTACGTTAAAAAAAATCCAAATCACACACACACAATAAACAAGATTAAAACGGAAAAAAAACTTTCGTCAGATGATACGAAACTACCGCATTAAATATGTAATCAAAATAAACCAGCGTGTTTCATGTAAATATGCATATAATCAATCTGATTAAAATTATATACCCACTATCCTATGTGTGAAGATGTGACAGGGACTGCTCAGAGCCCATGTTCAGTTCGCCAATGAGAACGCATCTTTAAAAAAAAATCTGAAAGTGAATTAAATCAAAATGTTCTTCAGCTTCATTGATAAGTACGTGAAGATACAAGATTTCATCTAGATGGATGCTAACATTGCTGATTATGGTAATAGCATATGATACTAGCACATGACCCCTAAGCAATCGCTGTCAGATCTGCACGTAGGACTGTGAAGATCTGATTTTAATGAGGTTGACTATGATATACAATGAATATGGCTCATTACATCATCTGTTAGAATGAAATGAGTGATTCGTACAACCATACTAATGCTATAAGAAAAGAAAAAAGGAGCACGATTCACACAACCGTATGTTTTAAGGAAATGAGCATGGTTTATACAACTATACTGCATAATAAAAATTCATACAACCACGTGTTTTAAGATAGTGTGGTACATACAGCGATATGCTTCAAAAGAAATGAGTACGGTTCATGCAACCGCGTTTATAGGAAATCAGTAGTCCACACAACCGTATCCTTTAAAGAAGCGAGTATGATTCATGCAACCTATGTCCTTATTATAATAAACCATTGTTCATTGTTCTTTTTCACATTAAACAAATTTTCACTTTCACAAATGACGCTGTCAGTTCCAGTTAATCTACCACACGGCATGTTACGCTGCTATGTACAACAGCTACGCTGCCTCACTGCAAGCCATGTTATCACATTAGATTTATGTTGCTGCACTGCACAACATTTAGTTGCCACTTTTGTAAGTACCAGTGCTCATCGTGATATATGGGCATCTAGCGGCCTTCGACGAGATCCATGTCACCATTAGAAGAAAAGAAAAAAATCGGACAACTACTCTAGGTATCCCTGTACTAAATCAATCACACAATTGTTTCAGGAACTGCCAAGCTAATTTCTTGCTTTATTCCGTGACCATATATTTGTCTTGTTATCAGAATAGCAACATTTGAGAAATCTTAAATCATTCATTCCATTGAAATGATTGAAAAGTCGAGCAAATTGTATAACATTAAAGTGCCTGTTGGCTTATTAATAACACACAAATACAGTTTATCAAGCACAACTTAGCCCTAAGAAATGTTTGTTTCATTTGCAATGACTGATGGAATTGAAAGATTTTTACTCTTGATCCGGAAAGACTAGTTGCATATAGAAATATTAATTGTGAACAAAATTAAGCTGGATAAAGAGAAAATAAAATACACTGATTTGAAATATTTGTTAACTGAAATATCGACTTAAACATTGCAGTCAAGCGAATAAAAAAACTACACTGCACAAGTGGTCGACAATCACGTGTATGACTAATAGCAGGCAGACATAGTAGAGATGCGAGAATACGAAAACGTCGAATATAAATACATTTTGACATTGATTTATACATTCGCAAAGTGAAAACTGTAAAGGATGATATGTACAATGCTTTTATAGAACTCTTCAAAACGTGACCCAGTGGAAAGATAGTTTCGGGAAGTTAACTAGATTTTGAACGGGAAAGTTACTATGATGTAAAAGGAAAAGAGGAAATACTTATTCAGATTCCAGGAAGCATTTGTAATCGAAAGTTTGACATTACAAAAGAAATTTAAGAAGATAGCAATCAAATATATGAAGTTGATTTCAGTTTATTCAATACAGTAAATTTTAAAAAATCAAGTTATATATTAAATGCTATAACAGTGCACAAACGAATTTGAAAATGCAACAATATCCCCGCTTTTATGTCTGTGTGGGTATATAGGAATCCTCGAGTCCGTCCGTCTGTAATTCCGTCTGTCGACTCCACTTTGATTGTTTCTTGCAGCTGATTGCATTGTAGAACAGAGTCTTGTGAATGTAACTAGTTTAAACTTTCAATTTATCGCCATGGAATTTGGTAATGTTACAATAATTATCTGAAGGTTCGCATACTGAAAACTTTCATTGCTCTTGTAAAGAGATTGCCACGTTTGACTTGCAGTTGTTACGAGTCTATGATCAGAAAATATGTAACAGAAAAGAGTGAAGACAACAAGCTTTTTGTAAAATTCAATAAATACTTTATTTTCCCCTAGAATACAAAATGAAAAATGAGAAGAAAGAACAAACGGTATTGCAAATTAGATCCAAAAATAATCCAAGAATTAAAGACGAGTCCTGGTAATAAAAAGTCCTGAATAAAACTCAGTTCAAGTACCGAAGAGATTCAAAATTGAAACAGTTCTCGTTCTGTCAAACAATTTAATTTCTCTGTGAAGTCATTCTTGCAGGTATACCGCAATTATATAATGGACAAATCTAACTGAAGAGGCCGAATTCGTTTTAAGTTTAAAATCTGCTGTAAAATGTTTGTCTTATTGTTGTGAAATTGTTGATTTCTCATTTAACTGTTCTGAGAATACATTGAATTAATTTATTTTCTATAAAATATAATTTAACCTCGATGACCATTTGGGCACGTTTGCTACTTTTGTGTGTGTCAATTTTGAGTTCGATTTATAATAAATTTCGTTCGCATTGAGTTTTGATCTTTTTCCTTAATATTAAAAAGAAATTTAGACATAATTCTGTTTCTCTGAGACGATATGTCAGCTTTAAAAATATTTTTTTTTTCGATCATATGGTTAATTTCATCAAAGAGATAAATGCCAGCATCGCATAAGGTTTGTCACAAAAAATCTGTTCTCTGTTTGTGTAGGCTAGGTTTACATAACAATTTATTGAATAAAGTCATATCTGTTTAACAATTTATTCATACTAAATCTTTAACGTGTGAAATTTTGTTGAAATATGTCATTAAAAATTACAACACTTGGATGGGTTAATACAGTAATACAATTGAAGTGAATACGTAAATTGCGTATTTATGTTTATTCTAGCATTAAACAAAATAAGAGGCTATATGTCTTCATTGATAACTACAAAGTTTACCACCTTCTCGATTTTTTATAAAACTAAAATGGCTGTTTCATAACTACAACAAGCGACACTCAACACATGCAAAATTTAATGTGCTGAGGCATTTGTAATAAAGTGTCTTGCCAGACGACACCAACCAACCCAACATGCAAATCCGCACCCGTCTCGTGGCTAATCTAAAAAGGAAAAATAACGAAAAAAAAAATACGCTTTCCTTTCAGAAATATTGTATAGTGCCGTTGTAATTAAATGCGTGAGAATAAAATATGATTAAACAAAGAAACATAAATAGTAAATAAAAGTCCCGTTATGTCATTCATATATATATATATATATATATATATATATATATATATATATATATATATATATATATATATATATATATATATATATATAATAATAATAATAATAATAATAATAATAAATACATTTAAACCTGCCTGAATATTCAGTTAGTATATATATACTTTATATGTAGTTTAAGTGTGTGTTAAGGAATCAATGCTGTATAATTTTTTTTTATTTCATTAAAAGTAATTATTAATATGATTATATTAATATCAGTCTAATATGTTGTTAAAAACATCATGTTTTCTTGAGTCGTAAATGTGACTCATGTGAGCATGTGCTGTGTATGATGATAAATCCTTTACAAGTAAACAGTCAGGAATAGCTATGAAAACGATTGGCTGATACTTGGTGAGACTTACGTAATGTCCAGTTGTATTATGAAATTGGGCGGTAGTTCTTTAGATCATTACGGTCAAGTGTTGGTTTCTTCAGTAGAGGTTTTACAATGGCAGTTTTGTTAAATGATGGGAATTCCCAAGATGAGAGAGACGTATTAATAACATCAGTTAGTGAAGGCAATATTGGTTCCAAGCACTCTATCGGAAGTGACGTCGGAATCGATCCAGTTCACATGACCTTGGTGCACTCTTCATTACGATTGTACGTACTAAATCCATAGAGACAGGTTCAAATGCTGATAATGGTTGCCGCTGAAAGTCTGTATCACAACCGTATGGTGATGAGTCAACTGAAATTGTGTTGTCAAGTTTATCTCTGATGGTTTGTACGTTGTCACGGAAGAAATTTGCAAACAGGTCTGGAACGTCGACTCGAGAGAAGGTAGCTGGAAGTGGTATACATTTGTTCCAGTAACTTGTTAGTAATCTCAAATAGCTGTTTGCAGCTAGAACTTTCTGTGATATTATTACTGTAGTGGGCCAATTTCGCTGCATGGAATATGTTTGTGACATTCTTCTTAGCGGCATCATAAATCTGCTTATGAACAGTTAGTCTGGTGGAAAGCCAAAGTCTCTCAGCTTTACGACCGTCTCTTTTGGCAGTGCGAAGCTGGTCCCTAACACTGCTATACCACGGAGAACACTTCTGAATTACTTCTTTGCACTTGGTTGCCGGGGTGTGTTTGTCTAGCAATGAACTCGGGCAGTTATCGAGTTGTTTTGCTGTAGTAGGCAAGTTAATGTTGTTAGGTTTGCTTGGATGTCGTGCATTAATTTGGTTCTGTTTATCATACGGAGGTTTCTCTTAGTAGCAAATAAAGTTGGAGGGTTAGGGACTGATACATCAAGATGGCATATAATGCAGAGGTGATCTGATGAAAGTTCGTTGGACACATGAGAGGATTGAAGAATATT